GGTTAAGCACCTGCAAGGAGATCAAAATTCGAATTTTGAGAGCATGTATCTTCCCTGGTGCAACATACGGATGTGAGTCATGGACTATCTCCCAGTCCTTAAGAAAGAGAATAATTGATTTTGAGCTGAAATGTTATAGAAAGATTCTCAGAAAATCTTGGACAAAGAAGAGGAGAAATACTGACTTCTTGAAAGATCTGAACATCAGTGAAGATTGGCTTATAAACAGCATCCTGTCTCGGAAGCTGAAATATTTTGGTCATATCAAGCGCCACGACGGATTGGGAAAAAAATAGCAGAAGGCATGCTACCAGGAAGGAGGGGCAGGGGCCGACCAACACAAAGATGGACACAGGATATAAGTGACTCCTTGAGTGTGAAAGTTCATGAGACGGGAGAGCTGGCGAGACACCGAGTTTCTTTCAGTCAGACCGTGATGAGAGCGACGTTCTGCAAAGGACCTGCTACATGATGATGATCCTATTATGCCATTCTAAGTTACATAGAGCTCCCAGTCTATTCCTCCATTCCATGTTATCCTGTGCACACAATACAATATCATCGATGGGATCCAATCAAGCCCCTTTGGTCTCTCTCATTGCCGTTCGTTTTAAGATTTCCTTTAGGCGTTCTTTCTTCTTTAGTCTCTTTACTTCCCATTTTAGATCCTATCTGGTGACTCTCTGTCTATTTTCGGGATGTGTCCAGTAAAGCGCCATCTTCTTTGTCTTTTAACTGTTGATACCTGTGATTGCCCATCCATTTCTCCTGTTTCTGCACCTCTCTTGTATTCATCCAGTTTTGTGTTTAACATTTTCCTCTAGCATGTGAATTACATTTAACTTTTCCTCCATATCTTTAGTAGCGCTACAGTTTTCACTGGCAGATGTTTAATTTGAAATAACATTGGAATTGAAAATACGCAACTTCGCCTTTAAACTATAGTACTATACAGTTTAGAATTCCATGTTTTATATGAAAGTATTATTTAAAGCAGGTGTTCAATAATCAAATTGCCTGGGTTTTTATCATGGTATAAGGCGTCGCAGGTCGACCCAGCCTAAAATGGGTACCAGGATGGCTGTCCTCGGGAAGTAAAGACGGCCGGCTAATGCTGATCACATTACCCACCCAGTGCCGATTTGTCTGTAAAAATATGGGACGCTCTTCCCCTATGTCCGATGCGCCTAAGGCGTGAAAAAGGATCTTTACTTTTACTTTACATTAATTAAATAACTCCTGTATCGGCGTAAATTAACAGAATTTTAACAAGTGGTAATCAGTGGTGTCCAAAAGAATGGTATTTTAGGTGGCTGTAAACTGTAAGGTTTACATAATTCTAATTTAAAGAGCATCCCAACCTGCACAGCCCGTGGCGATAGCACTAGCCACATGGATCTAAATCCTTAGGCTCATAGACACTCTTGCCAACACCCAGAAGTGGTATCGAAATACACTGAGATGCGGGAACTGATGGCAGTTTTTGGGCATCGCTTATTATTATCTTGTATTTAAACAAGTTGAATATAAATGCCCCTTTACTTGGTGCATATGTTATTGTTGCCAGGCCCATATATTTATGAACCTTTCATCACTAGATTGGTAATATGGCCTTTTTTTCCTATGAAATTTCCTATTGTTAGGCAAGATTGAATGAATGGATGGGTTGTGTATTGGGGGGGGGGGGGGGTGATGGATTGGTGGATACGCCGACGGATGGATGGAAAGACGGACGATTGCATGAGAAATGTATGGACAGGTGGGTTGATGGATGGATGGTCGATGGATGATCGATATGAATCAGTGGATGCAGTTGTGGACGGGTGGATCAGGGAGGGATAGTTTAATGGTTTCCGGGAAGGACTGACAGATGGATTTATAGATGGATAAAAGATGTAGCAAGCTGAATCTGTAGCACATTCAATGACAGTTCATGGTTAGATGTGCAATCGCACTCGTGCTGTATGTATATATGTATATGTGTGTGTGTCGTAATGGGAATCGTAAGTGAGATGTTCGATGATTGTAGTAATAATATACTTGTTTTGACATTATTATGTGATTGTGTGATTGCAGGACGGTACAGCTGTGCGTAAAAATACTTGCGGATTCTAGAAAAGCACTAAATTTGTTTCTAAATTACGTATTAATAATTTAAAAGAAATAAATAAGAGATAAACTCTCTGCTATGTTAAGTTAAGAAAATCGGCGATTTGAACGTTTTTGCCTGAGACTGACCAGCTGACAGGTGAATCTTCTTCCGCTGGGATTAATTGTTTATCGTGACAAGACAATGGGATAAACTTCATAATGTTCTTATGTTGTGTGCAATGGTGCAAGCTGCATTATCAAAAACCACACGCGCATGCAAGCTTCTGCGTTGATGATGATGCCTGGATCATCAAGCGCCCCTGGATAGTACCAAACGGGCATACGAGCCTCTTATTATGTCTCTGAAGACACGCCGGCTTTCTGTGGAGATTGTCGTCGTGCTGGGCTGTTTCCTGGTGATCATCTTCACGGCCATGCAGATCTTAACACTGACTAAAGACAGTAGTAAAAACGTCAAACCAAAGACCTGGAGTGCCAATACGGTGACCAAATCCCAGAGCATCCAGCAGATTAAGGATGCGAAACGAACGCGGCTCTCAAATATGCAAGCCAGACTCAAACTCAGGCACAAAATTCGAATGGAGATCATAGCGTTAGAACGAGCGATCTCAAATATGTTGAAGGAGACTTCTATGACTCCTGCAGAATCGTCAGAAAAGATTATGAATGATCTTTATGCTCGTAGAGTTACAAAGATCATTCAAACGGTTGACAGAACTGCACGGGGTCGTTTAAACAAGAATCTGGCAAATTCCAGTACATCGAGAATTCGAACAAGTGGTTCTAGTAGTGTCCCGGTTCGTAAAGTCAACAGAAGCCATCCTTCTCAAGATATTAACAATTTTCATATTCCATATCCGGCTTCCAAATTCGGGTTGCCTCTCATGTTTGAGTCTGTATTAACAGCGCAAGAAATAGCGAACGTCAATGCTAAAGCAAAACTGGCAAATCTGAAACATTTTAAGGACTTTGATGCAGTCGAAGAGATTCGTTTGAAAGGCATCGTCGAAGAGGCTCAGAATTTTGGCGAAGGAAATTTTTCCTCATACTACGAAGATAACTTCCAGAGAGTCAAGAAACAGTTCGTGGAAGGGACAGAACTATTTGTAGATGAGGCGTCATTAACGAAACAGAATGGCTCCTTCCAAGAGATCTGTCCACTGATACCAGAATCTCTGGGTAAGGAACTGCATTGTCGTTTGTTTTATGAGTGGTGTTGAACTAAACATCTACATGACAGAATTCTGAATTTTTCTATAGTGTTTCATGCCCCATCTTTCAGCAACTTGTCCAGAGTTTCAATTCCAGTGGTACCAGTATCATTTGATTTTATGTCCGTTTTGCTTTCTGCCTTAGTCTTGGACGTTGGTCAGATTCCCTGGTCAGTTCCCGCTACATCCTTCTTTTATCTCCGATCAATGCCGGTGTGTTGGGAAATGAATAGGCGGACATACTGGCTGGCTCTGCACAACTTAATGGGAAACTGTTGCATGATAAGGCAGATGTGGTTATGGCCTTTTGGGAACTCGTGTACAATTCAGTCGGGTGCGAATGATGCAGCAAGGACTCACAAGGGGAGCTGGCCGATACTCGACGTTCATGTGCTATTGGCATAATTGGTCATACGTCCACACACACACACACACACACACACACACACACACACACACACACATATATATATATAAATATACACTACATAGATCCATGTACATGTGCACACTCTTACTTCCACATACATACCTACATACATACACACATGCACGTACGCACGCGCGCGCACACACACACGTATACATACATTCAACATACATACATACATACATACTCATGCATACACACACACACACATCTATTCATACACATACATACTCAGGTTCATACATACACACATACATACACATACATTTAAACATTCATACAAACACCCATTCATACATAAACATAAATGTTGAATATTGAATTAAGAATCGACATCATAGCACTCGGG